GCTTTTAATTAGCTGGAGCCTTTAATTCTGGAGCAAAGAGCAGAGAGGAGCAATTTTCATTGGGATCCTGATTGTGGACTGGAAGAATTCAACCCGCCCCCCCCCCCCGCACTAGGGGGCAGTTGCCTAATGAGGAGTGTCTGTCCCACCCGTTCTATTCATTTTTAAGGATCACATCACGTCTGCTTTGCCCCTAACTTGGCATGTTACCTGTGTTCGATGCTTAGGATCACATTTCCAGGGCTGTTCTCCAGGCACCACGATAGGCTTGGTGAGGCAATAAGAGAAAGGGGGGCGATCTGGCACTGCTGCCGCCCCAGCACTGCCTCCTAGTGGCAAGATCCAGTCTTGCACGGGTGGAGAACCATCTTGCCCCCCCCGTCTGGCTTTCTAGGCTGCCCCAGATGGCCACACCCCCTTGCCCTGGCCCCGCCCCATCCTCCTGACTGCCCAATTGGTGGTTTCCTGGCATTTGCCCCTTTCCTATTCTTAAAGCTAGAACTTGCTGGCAGGAAGAGCCTTCAGATGAAATTTGCTGGCATTTTTTGGATTTGGGGGCCCCCGCCATATTGCCCTCATCCCTCTGAGTTGCAGCTCTTGACAGCTTCTCCGAAATTGAATTCGGCCATCTGCCCAATGAGGCCTACAAGACTCAAAGGAGAGAGCATATGAAAATCTAGTAGAGGTTTAATTATTGTCTCATTTTACTCTGCCAGCTGCTTTCTTTGTTTATTTTCAGGATTTACATACTGGGCTCTATCTGGCAAGATTCCTGAGCAGTGAACCATAGAAAGAAAGGAATCAAAATACTGCACTGAAATATTTAAAACCGGATTTTGAGAACATTCCCTGTATCTGGCAAGATTCCTAAGCAGTGAACAATAGAAAGAAAAAAAGAGAAAGAATCAAAATACAGAATTAAAATATTTAAAATCATTTCAGGTCAGTCTTTATCAGGTACCAAAACAAGGCTGGTTTCCTGTCTGACAAGTTTACTCAACAGAAACCAAACGTTAAACTAGGTTTAGTCAGAAAAGGGTGTGAGAAACAGCTAGAACAATAAAAGAAAACAAGTGTTTGTCTGGCTATCCAGCCATCAGTGGCTTAGCACCCAGACTGTGAAACGTAGATGCCTGGAATTTGGCATGCTTGCTGAGGGGGCCCTGTGGGCCTGCACTCTGGAGTCATTATATTTTTAAAACACATGAATTAATTTTAGTGCGCACATGTGCTTGAAGCTTGCCATACTGTTGTCAGTTTCTAGTCAGCAGGCTTACTTAACCAGTACGGTCTGAAGGAAGGTGAGGTTAGTAGATCAAGACACAATGTTATTTGACTCTTCACTCCCAGAACTGTGGGGCAGTCTCTTTGCTGAGGAATGGAGCAGCCGTCGCTCCAACTCATGGCACTATAGAGGTGCACCATGAATGGGGTGACACCATGCCCAGTGAGGGGTTCACTCATAACAGGTGGCTAGAATTTTCCAGCTTGGAAGGTTTTGTCTGAAGGCTTTGCTGTATCTAAGGGCTGCTGCTGCCTGTGCAAAGCCAAAACCATTCTCGCAGTACATATATAAAACAAACAAATAAAAAGCTACCCGTGGCACATTGAAGATGCTGCCTTATTATTATAGCTGCTAGGGAAGCCAAGCCCGAAAGTGCGGGGGCTAAGCAGAAAGAGTTCCTCGACACACACCCATAGGCCTGGATGCCAGGGGCGTGGGGTTGGCTGAAGGATGAGCTGCTTGGAGTCACAGTGTTGGGAAAGCACATTCCTGCCAAAAATAGAAATGTATATTGTTATGAGCTCATCCCAAGGCCGAGGCGTGGGCAGAGATGATACGGGAAAGGAAGCAGCTGTCTAAGCAGCAGGGAAGCCGATGCACAATTCTGCGAGGAGATGATGGGTGACCAGTTCTCCAAAGATGCTGGGCCATGCTGGGGATGGAGCTTTCTCTCTCCCAAGGATCTTGGACTTGATGCAGGAATGGCTGGTTTTGCCCTGTGCCACAAAAAACTGGGGATTTCATCAAAGGTCTGTGTGGATTAAGGGCCACAAAGCTGGAAGGACCAGTTTACACAAAAGAAGATCCAGATGTGGGATCTACAGAAAGCTGTTTTCCAAACAGAAATATACATGCATGTGTGTGCACCCCTCCCCATCACGGCTAAAAACTTGTATATGTGCCCAGCACGTCCCACGAACAACAGCTGCGTTCAGTCAGCTCTCCAAAGTGGAAACTCCTCAGCTAGTGAGCGAGATTTTCCATCGCGTGAAGCTGCTCTCCACCCCTTCTCTTTAGCAAAGCTCAGCCCTGAACACGAGCTCCAGAGAGAGCATTTCTCCTTTTCCTCCTCCCTCCTCAACTCACAAGTCAGCCACACAGCGATTTCCACCCTGCATCAGAGCAGCGTAATTCTAGACAAGAGCAGTGTTGTTACGGCTCGCTCTGGACCTTAAGGCTGAGCATCAGGATCTTGCAGCCCTGGGGGGCCTCCCCAAATTGCTCCAGAGAGCAGTGGGGGGGGGCAGTTCCAAACAGGCCAAGCTCACCCAATGCTTGCCACCCAATGCTTGTGTCATTTCTTTTCCCTTTTTCAAAGATCGGGGGGCGGGGGGAGGCATGCACACAGTTAGTTTTATATTTTATTATTCTTATTTAAAAAAATATAAGCTGTTGCTGCAACCAAATGGTTGTTGTTGTTTAGTTGCAAGGTCATGCCCGACCCATCATGACCCTATGGACAACATTCCTCCAGGCTCTCCTGTCCTCCACCACCCCTCAGAGTCCACCCCAGCTCACACCCACTGCCCCAGTGACCCCATCCAGCCACCTCATCCTCTGCCCTCTCCTTTTGCCATCCATCGTTCCCAGCATCAGGGTCTTCTCCAATGAGTTGTTCCTTCTCATTAGGTGGCCAAAGTATTGAGTTTCATCTTCAGGATCTGGCCTTCTACAGAGCAGTCAGGGTTGATCTCCTCTAGGACTGACCAGTTTGAACACCTTGTGGTCCAAGGGACTCACAGAGTCTCCTCCAGCACCACCATTCAAAGGCCTCAATTCTTCGGTGCTCAGCCTTCCTTATGGTCCAACTTTCACAGCCATACATTGCAGCTGGGAAAACCATAGCTTTGATTATACTCACTTTTGTCAGGAGGGTGATGTCTCTTTTTCCCAACTAAGTGTGTTAAGTAAGTATAACTCTAGTAAAAATCTTTCCATGTGATCGTGGATGGGCAGGGCAAACTACTCAGTCAGCCCAGCCAGGAGCAAGAGAGGGCCTGCAGAAGCGACCGGGCCTGCAGCCTGCGATGGATGGACCGAGAGTGTCCCTAATTTTGCAGGCCAAAGTCCCAGCAACAGGACTCTCCTTCAGCATTAGCATGTGAAAGAAGAGGACTTGTCTGGTACTACAGAGTCTGAAAGCACCTCCAGGTTTTTTCTGAATTCATCTGCAGACACTCTGTGCAACCTTTTCACTTGTGTGTGGTAAACTTTAGACAACTGGAATTTTATTGCTTTTAAGTACATGTCACAAATTGTTTTGTTTTATAGGTTTCTGATTGTGTGTGTGTGTATTTGAATATTTAATTTTGCTGTATTTTTTCAGAGCCACACAGGGTGAAAGATCGGAATGAGCCTGTGATCTGTATTAACTGGTTGGCAGGGTGACATAAGCACTCTGCAGTGAGCTCAAAATGCACAACTGCACATCAAAGCTGCCTGTTTTTTGTTAGATAGCGGGAATGTAGCAGCACTTCTAAAGCATGGAGTCACGTGGTTGGAAAGGACTGACATCAGTTTGATGCTTTGAAACTGAATATGCATGGCTGCCTAAAAGGGTAAAACCATTGAATCCAAGGGCTAACGTTACCTACTTACACAACTGAAGAATGGGTCCATTCTCCACAGCTTGCCCATACCATCAGACGGATGACATGGTACAATTCTGGTCCAGAGTTGTAACATCTCCCAAGTAGGAGCAGGGGAGCCAGTTGACAGAATGTACTGGGTTCACATGACACAATTAACTACATGGGCTTATAAAACATGGCAGGTGAGTGTGTTGCATGAACCCAATGTGGTTTTGTCAAGGTAGCTTAAGTTTGGGTTATGATCCACCCCGATAACCCATGGCGTGTTGTAGCATCTGTTTGACCCGTGACTGTGCTGTCTGCATCTAGACATGATCCAAACCATGGCCAAACCATAGGCTAACTTTCTATATAGCCTGAAGGGCCTAATCCTATTAATCTCGGAAACTAAGGTGGGGGGGGGGTCAGGCTTGGTTAGTATTTGGATGGAAAACTTGAGTCCTACACTGAGGAGGAGATTGGATCTGATGCCCTTCTAACTGTGGGTGATGATGAGCCCCTTTCAGCTCTATGAGTCTATGAAATCTAGAATTTGTTATTCATTCATTTATATCCTGCCTTTTTTCCTCTCAAGACATTCAAAATGGCTTACATCATTCTCCTCCTGCTCTCAATTTATCCCCACAACAGCAACCTTGTAGTGTCTGAGACTGGCCCAAACTCACCCAGTTGGCTCCATGGCCAAGCAGGGATTAAAACCCAGATCTCCTGAATCCCAGTCCCACCCTCTTAACCCCTGCAATGCGATCATTCAAAACTGGCAAGAGTGTTTTCCTGCTCCTGTTAACTAGCTTCAGAGCTGATTCCTCATACCAATAAAATGGTAGCATAGCCATGGGAAGTTGAGGTGTCTGAATATGAACAAGGCACCCTACGGAAATTGGCTGTGAGAATCCAGTCAATGACAGAAGGTAAGTCACCCGACTTAGAGTGATGAGATGCAAAGGAAGAATTTTAGCATGTTGGTATAGTTTGTTACATTAGAGAGCTGCAGGATTTACAAAACCTACAGTAAATTAGCTCTCCTCCTCCATATAACGCTGACAAAGGAAAAAACGCTGTTTTATTGCAATGACCCAGCTGTTCCAATAGCTGGATTGTAAAATAAATAGGCTTCACAGCAGTTTAATGTATCATTGCTCCATTATTTTATATACATATTTTATTTGCATATTTTAAAAAATACACTCACAAACAGCATTGCAGTTAAGGTGAAATGAACTTAATGATAATTGGAGCAGGGCAGGACCGTATCATTCAGTCTATGTTACATGGTATTTAGAAGTATAAAAAAGGCAAATAATGAGAACAGTATGATAAATTCATTTTTTAAAAATACATATTACTAAATTGTAGCACGCAACTAATGGTAGAGAACGTTGTCCTCTTTAAGGCCACAGTATGGGAAAGCAAAGTTATTTCAGATTAGTGTCACCTGGAATATGTTTATTTTTAAATACTGGATCAGTAACCAAAGAAAGGCCAAAACTGCACACTTAGCACTCCACCAAACATACTTTTGATTATGCTATTTTTTCCAGCAGGAAAAACTAAAGCGGCAGTGTTAACGACACTCAGTGGCAGGCATTTTCTTTTAAGTGTCAACATTTTAAAGGCACAATACTTTTTCATGAATGAAGCTGCCTTTTATATAAGGCACTGCCCTTAATAACACTGCAGGCAAGGATTTCTAACACTTACGGAAACAATTAAAGGGGCTGCTCCAATGTGGAAACTGTTCTTTGGCATGGCACTGGCATATCATTTAAAGCCCCTGCATTTATTACTTTTTTAACCTCCAAGAGGTTTATTTATTTTCCTAAATCCAATCGAAGACTTCTGAATGCAGAAAGTAAACTCCCCTTCAAAATCCAAGTTATGACAAGAATCAGCAGTTCCTAAGTAAATTATTTGGGGAACTGCAGAGAGCTTTTTCTTGCAGAAATCTGTTAGAAGTAAACATATGCAAGTTTAATCTCTCATGAAGCATGCATGAATTTTTACCCTCTATATGGTATTTTAAAAGGCATCCTCTTAAACCATAGAATAAACTTCCCAATGAAGTACCAAAGAAAACTACAGTGTCGCGCCGCTCAGGTGCAGTTCCAATTCATTTCGATGGGACCTGCATCTAGCAAGTTCACTGGTGACTGAGAAGTACACTTAGGAGAGCCCCACAATTCATGTAGGGTGGGGGTTGTTTTAACAGCCAGACAAGTATGTTAGAGGGGACTCATCTTTCCTACAAACAAAGCAAGGCTCCAGCATTGTCTATGCCCTCTCAGCCTAAACTAGGGTTCACTGGAAAGAGGACAACTTGCTGGTGGCTGAATAAGTCTTTTTCCAGCAGGGACACAACGGTTCAAAGGTTTCATGAAGGCTGGAAGATGGTGGAAAATATGGATAAAGAAAGGCGGACCTGTGAGCTGGCAACAGATGCACAGGAAGAATTCAGAAAGATGGATATCAAACGAGGTTGTCATGGGTTCTGGAGGATGGAAGCATTCTACTTCAGTTGAGGTTCACACCCCCTGGGTGCTTCTCTCCCTTCTGGGCATGGACCTCCAGCACCACCCTTTTTAAACAGTGCTACCTCTGTGCACGGAGAGAAACTTAATGCTCTCAGCTAGCTACACCTTGCAAATGTACAGGGACAGCAAAGAACCAGTGTGCAACACGAGCAGGTCTGAGAATGAGCCTGAACGATATTCCAAAGGCAAGAACGTTTATGCCAAATTTTGCCACGTGAGCAAAATGGGAGCAAAGGACAGGCTTGCAATGAGCAAGGCATGCTCAGGAGGTGGAAAGAGCAAGGAAGAGATGTGCGGATTACTGGAAAGGAGGAATGTAAAAAAAAACCAACAGCTTGTGGTGGGGACACTAGCATGGAAATGAAAAGACAGAGATGAGGACGGAGGGAAGCACAAGAGCAAAAAGGGAGGCAGAGAAAGGGCTTTCTTTACTCGCTTTTTGCAGCCATGGTCTACCCTTGGATGAATATCAGCCGTGCAGAATACACCAGGTCAGCAAGGTACACCAGGAGATTGAGAGCTGTCAGCACAGCAATGGCCACCCACCTGTCCCAATAACAGAAAGTTTTATTGCCGCAAGGCCGAGATGAGACTCCACCGTGTTTTCGGTCGAACTTATAGATGGGCCAGATAACTGTGGCTGTCGCATACATGAGCACGGCCAAGAGGGTGTAGCCGCTGAGGAACTTGTTGAATGGACATGGCAGCCAGCCGGTGCATTCGCCGATGCAGAGGATGATGACCAGCAGCGAGAGGATGAAACAGATGCAGTAGACGGCCATGCACCACTGAAGGGCTTCAGGATGGTCGTAAGAAACTGGATTACTGATGAAGACAAAAATGATGCAGGCAATAAAGGTCTCCACCACCTTGAGCAGCCCGGGGACGGTGGCCATGTATCCGGTGACTTCTCCCGGCTTGGCTTTGGTGACCGTGACCTCTGTGGAGTACATCAGGCACGCGAGGCAAGAGAACACGGTGGCCGAAATGCGATACCCACGCTCTTCACGAGGGAGGCTTCTGTTCTGGATGTGGGACACCGGGTAGATGATGGAAGCCGAGAGGCATATCAAGGTGGCGTACATGGCAAACGTGATGGGGAAGTTCTTCCAGGAGACAGGAATGCGGTGCTGAAGGCCAGCAAACTCCACTATCAAGATGATGATGGTGATGGCGAAGCAAATGCACCACGAGAAGATGCACCAGTCGCCATCCCGGCCATCCCAGGCTTGCCGGTGGACCACCAGGCTGAAGGCGACGCAAGTGAAAAGGACTTCCAGCAGGCGGATGATGCCCAGCTGAGAAGTCAGAGCACTGGTGTTGCCCACAGATTTGGAACGTGTCACCGGCATCGTGGAAAGACCTAGGAGAAGAATTAAGACGCATGATAAGCTCCAAGAGGTGAAGATGGCCCAGGAGACAGTGTGCTGTGCCTGGTTTTGGAGAGAGTGGACACAACTCTCCTCATCTCATCACTGGCTCACCTCCATTCAGCCTACCCCAGCTGCCCTCCAGATGTGTTATACTACAATGCCCATCACCCCCAGCCATCAGGTCAAAAGGGATGCTCACTGGCGTGCAGGGCATTCTGGTCCAACTCCCCTGGGGGGCACCAGGTTGGAAAACACTGCCTCAGGTATCACTGCCTCTTCCAACACCAGTGAGATAAGCAGAGGTAAGAGCAGAAGTGAGGAACGTATGTGAACCTTCTACTCCTATCATCCCCAGACAGCAGGGATAATGGGAGCTGTAGTCCAATATCATCTGGAGGTCAAGAGGTTCTTCAGCTTTGAGCTGATAGCTGTCTAGAGCCAGGGAGATCCTAGTTCAAATCCCCGCTCAGCCAAGGAACTTGCTGGGTGAATTGGACCGGTGTCACCTCATCAGGCTCTTCTGAGAACAAAATTAGGAGAAAAGAACTCTGCGCATCACCAGCTCCCCACTAGCAGGCACCCCCCCCCAAAAAGCACAGCCCTCATCTTTTAAAAAAAACTGCATATGCACCATCCCGATGACCTTGGAAGTAGGATGAAAATGTAATAAATCAATCTCAACCTGTTAGTTGACCTACGGTACATCTGAACATGACAGGGTGGTTGTTTCTCTCTCATTATACTGGAAACCCGTTCCCCCAGCGAAGCCAATTGCCCTGAACCTCATTCCCAATGAAGAGGAGAATGAAAATTGTTTCCACAAGGATGTGGAAACAAATGGCTTAGAATGTTGGTTTTTTGTTTTTCAGAACAATGCAACAGATTTCATGCAGGACTGGCCCTTAGCTTATTTATCAGATTTATATCCCGTCTTTTTTATTTCAGAGAAAGCAATTGACATAATTCTCCTCCTCCAGCCTGTGAGGTAGGTTGGGTCGACTCTCTGTGACTGGCCCAAAGTCACGGCTGGCTGAGCGAGGACTAGAACCCGGATTACCTGAGTCCCAGACCAGCTCTCTTAACCACTACACCACATGGTTCTCGTTATTATCTATCACCTAGCAAATCTCAATGGAGCCTCCATCTGCAGAGCCAGTATATCCCTAAAAACCAAGGGTTCAGGGCAGGGCACAGATAAAGGCTGCTACATCCGTGGTCTACTTCTACGCTTTATGGTGCCATGTGACTAGCCTCTGCTGGAAGAAAGCATGATCCAGCAAAGCAATTCTTTATATTTTTATCTGGCCACATGCACAATAGATAAATAAATAATAAAAAAGCAATCCAAGTATGTGAATTTTTAAAACGTGCCATTCCAGAAGGAGAAGAGAGGGGAAATGAGGGCATTCCATCAGCTCAGCTGAAAGCTGAGAAGAATTTTCTTCTTCCATCCTCATCCCTTTTTCCTTGTATGTTGTCTTCTTAGACTGCAAGCCTTCAGGGAGGGCCTCTCTTGTTTTTACTTATTATATGTAACCCACTCTGGGAACCTTTCTGACTGAAGGGTGGGATAAAAAATACTTTTAATATATCCAGTATATTACTAATTTGAAAGCGCTGCAATTTGCACGTGCAAAGTTGCCTGGAACCCACCAAAATCTAAAATGGTAAACATGTGACTGGGTGTGGCAGCCATTTATTTATCCAGGAGGCTTTTTGTTACCAGGGCAACAAAACGGGACTAGAAGTGTGAGCAAGAAGGAGGAAGCCTGTGCAGTGACTGAGGGCATCCGGACTATCGCCACAGGAAATGTAACAGGAAATGCACCCACAAAGCCCCTTCTGCATGGGTTTCATGCTGCCTTCCCCAACCTTGCTGCCTGGGGATGATGGGAGCCGCCATCCGAGATGTCTGGAAGGCAGCAGACTGGGAAAGCCCAGTTGCTGGTCCGGCTCCCCGGCTCCATTGCGTGTCTGTTCCCACAGAGCAGCGGCTGCAACAGGGACGAGCGAGGACACAGTGCAACAGACCAGCCGGCATGCCTGATACCGGCCGGAGGGCCCCTGGAGGTTTTCTCTTACAAGGGTTGGTTTCCTGCTTCAGAGGGGCAGAAGTGCTCCCCAAGGCAAAAAGGAACAGCGTTGGCTGGGCTCAGTGATGAAAGGTCAGCCATGGAAACGAGGAGGCCAGCATGAAGCCTCAGGGCTGGTGTCCCGGGGGAACCAAGCAGGGGCTTTTGGCAAAGAGTTGCTTAAGAGGCCATCTGTCGGGGCTTCCAAAATGGAGGCAGGAACCCTGAAGTGCATGTGCAGGATGACATGCACCTCTTCCGTGCTCTTTGCAGTCAGGATGGCTAGAGCTGGGATGCCTGAGAAACAGAAATGTTAATTTCCATTTGTAATTGCAACAAATGGAAGAAGAACACAAGAAGAGCTGTGCAGGATCAGACCAAGGGCCACCAAGTCTAGCACTGAGTTCACACAGTGGCCATACAACTGCTGACATAAACAGGACGTGAGTCCCACCATATTCCCCAGCAACAGGTCTGCATATGGGCCCTGATACTGGAGCTAGCATATAGCCTCCAGGACTAGTAGCCTTCCTGACCAATAGCCTTCTCTTCCACTAATTTGTCCAATCTCCATGTTGGCCTTTACTACATGTGGCAGAAGCAGACTCCATATTTTAACTGTCCACAAGCTCCAGAGTATCCCAACAAGAGCCCAAATAAAAAGCCCACACTTCTAGCTAGGGATAATGGAAATTGTAGCCCACCAGCTGGAGATCCCTTCTGGAAGGCATCAGCTTAAAACAACCTTCCCCATGCTGGTTCCCTCCAGTTGCATTGGACTTCAACTCCCATCATCCCCAGCCAACAGGAGCATATGCCCAACATATGAGGAGAACACCAAGCTGGGCAGAAGTGTCGGCCTAGATGTGAGGAGAACCACAGAGCTATAAAAACAGAAGATAAAATGCAACCCCACCCATTTCGCTGAGCAACTTGGGGAAAGGTGTGCTTTTGAATGCTCAGAGTACTTTATAAAAAAATTATCACAGCAAAACTTTTACAACAACCCCATGATGTAGACCAGTATAATCTAAAGGTGGCCAACAAGGAAAACTGAGTGAGACTGAAGGAATAGCTTGAGTCCAGCTCAGCCAATTCTTGGCTGGAGTAGGAACTGCAGGCAGGTTTCTGGCTCAGTTCATGCTACTAAAGCATACTTAATGAATTAGTCAGTGTGATGCAATTGTTAAGAGGACGGGTGGGCGACTTGTGGCCCTCCAGATGTTTTGGTCTGTAATTTCCAGCATCCCTCACCATCAGCCATACTGCTATGGCTGATGGGGATTGTAGGCCAAAGCACCTGCAGGGCCATTAAGTTGCCCACCCCTGAGCTAGAGTATTGGATTCAGAATGGGGAGATGCATCCAAATTTAGGCTCAGCTACAAACCTTGCCATGGGTTAGTCACCATCCTGCCATCCAACCTATTACACAAGTTATTGTAAGGATACATAGTGTGGGATCACCCCATCTTGACTCTGGAGAGGAAGGGCAGGGTACAAAATCCAGTATTATCAATTTGATGGTTTAAGAAAGGTAACCACAGGAGAGCAATCTTGCTTCTAAGAACATTTTTCTTAATCTGGCATGCCCATTGCTCTTTAGGCTTCATGGCCTCCCAACAGACTTCCAGGACTTGCTTGCACATTTCACATTCAAGGAAAGGTAATCCAGAAGTCTTCACCTATGCAACAGCTTCCATCTATGATCACACCGTCAGTTCAGAACTGCCTGTCTCCATTCCCATTCGCTTAAGAGGAGTGAATCCCTTAATCCCCAGACTATTTCGAAGAAACACTCAGATACAGAAGAGTGTGAGGCTAGCTAGGCCCATGCTGAAAGTTGGGGACTTTTTTCCTTTCTTAAAAATGCATAGCATTGCACCCTTAGTCAGGGAAAATATAGGCAACTGTACTTGGTTAGAAAATTTGATCAAATGTTTGAACAGCTTCTACACAAGAAATAAACGGAAACCAATGTTTCATCATCTCTCTCCTTGAGGAAAGATTTACTGAGTAAATCTTGATGTTTTACTCAGTAATTGATGTTTTGTGAGCCGCCCTGAGGCTTCGGCGAATGGGGTGGCATAGAAATTTTCTAAATAAATAAATAAATGCATATGTTGTCATAATTTCTCAAATGTTATTAACCTTAGCTGGTTATTTTGAAGACTTCCATTTACATGCTATACATAACTTTGCAGCTGCCTAAGCAAAAGCCAATTACTCAACATCTCTTTAAAAAAATCAGAACTTATCTGTGTGAATTGAACTCGAAGAGAGAACAAAAAAGTGGGAAAATGAACAGATGGATCTCCAAAGTGGTTCTTTCTTAATAGCAAAAGTGGCTACAAGGAAAGCTTCAGATCAGGGTTTTCTTGGTCAAAATAGCCCCAGGGAGCAAAGCACTGCTGAGATACCCACATCTGTTTGAGCTATTTGGAACTATGAAGGATCCCTGAGAAATTCTTCCTATTGCAATATACATTTGTTAATAAAAAAACAAAAACTAACGGGAACAAGCAGCAGAACGTTCCTGTTAGGGCAGCTATGGATTTTCCTTTCCCCTCCCCATTGAAAAAAGTTACGCAGCGATTTGCCACCAACACCACCACTCTGGATGCTACACAAAATACTTCTTGCTTCTCCAAGAACGCAAACACTCTGTCAGTTTGTTCCGATGTTTGCAGTACAGTTTTTCTCTGCCGCACCATAACCAAAATTCTCTGAGCGACATAGAAGTCTATGTTAACTGAATTACTTGCTTTTTGGCTGAGTTTACCCAATGGGGCAAATGCCAGAGCACCGACCTGTCTTAGATAACTAGAACAAAGGAAATGCTTTATCAACAACCGTCTGCTTTCTGAGAAGATTCCATCTACCCTTGCCACACACCGCATGCTTTCCAATCAAAATACTGCCACCTCCCGGAAACATAAGCATTTGTGTAGCAAATCAGGCCATGTGCCTATCTAGCCCAGTTTGTCCAGCACTGGCTGGGAGCAATGAGTCCCCAGTGATTCAGGCAGGAGTTTGTACAGTCCTATTTGGGGTTGCCGGGGATTGAACCTGGAGCCGTCTGCAGGCAAGGCAGGTGCTGTGTAACCGAGCTGAATACCCCTTGTGTCTGATTACAGTGAGCTGGGCAGGCAGACGGAAATTCCTGGAAGTGAAGGACGTGGTGGGTCTGGGGAGCATCTCCGGTGTGTTAAAATTAGGATACAGGCAGCATGACAGGAGCTCTGGAGCAAAAGCACTCTGAGCCTTTCTGGCTGAACAAGGTTTCCTCATCTGGATTTCCTGCAGGGGTGAGGCACAGCCAGCAGTGGGGGCTGGGAAAGGCGTAGAAGTGGATGAAGGAGGGGTGGGAGCTTTTGCACCGTTGTCCATATAAGGCCAGGAGAAAACCCCTCTTTAGCCATAGTTGGACATTTGGTTTCAATCACGCTCTATGTCTGAGCTGAGGTGGGTGGGAAAGAAATGCTCCTCCCGGGCTCACAGCCAGCCCCACAGCCTTCCTTCTGGCCACCCCCCCCCCAAAGAGTCACAGCTCCTCTTCCCCTGCTCCCTCTTGCAAACCCCCAAGCCCGTTTGGGGGCACTTAGGCCAACAGCTATGACTTCCTCTCCGTGCTCGTGTTTCCAAACCTCAGTCCTGCTTAGCGCAGCAGTCCTGCAGCAGGGCACTCTGAACTAGAGTTGCTAAGACGGGGAAGCCGGCCAGGATGAGGATGGAGGGAACAGAAGGGAATCCGCTGCAGAAAGGGACAGGATCGTAAGCCGGCACATTTCGCATCCTACAAAACTCCCATGAGGGATCCACCTTCTTTGCATTTTGGTCACTATGCTGACGGATTGTGCAACTGCAAAGGGTAATTAAAGCCATTTCATCAGTCAAAGCACAAGTGCTGGCTGCCAGTAAAGCAAACCTGGCCAGTCACATATTATCATGTCAGTTGTTTTGGGACTGGGGGAGGGCTTTTGTCATGCTTTTCTGCCCGGTTATCCAGCAGGACAGGGGTGTGTTCTGTACACATGGCAGAATCAAGCGAAAAAGGTTTTGCTCAACAATTTCAAGTGGCAGGAGAAGGTGCTTGCTTGAAAACCTTTCTGCCCTTGCACATTCTTGCATTTAGAGAACTAGCATGACAGAGAAAAGAACTTGACCTACGCTTCTTCCTAATATGCTACTTTTCTGCATGCAGGGAACCTTTTCATGAGGCAGTAACCCTCCCACCTGCTCCCTGAAGTGAGGCAATCACAATTCTGAGTGTTAACTAGCCTGCTCCCAAGTGGACTTCACAATCATTTAAGTGTGGCTTTTAACATGGGTAAACCTCCTCACTCCCACTCTTTAAGACTTTGTAAAAGGGAAAGCTCTTCATATAACATTGCACTAATTCTGGCAACACTGCAAGGCAGCCTTCCCTAAGTCTCTCCTGGCTGGTTGGAGGGTGCTAGGAGTTGTAGTCCAACACATCTGGGGAGCACCAGTTGGGGAAGATTGGTATGGAGTAAATTGGAATTGCTCACCAAGAGGGTGTGCCTAATGAAAGCAGCCTAGCAAATTCAGGAAGGAAGGAAGATTTATAACATGGGGACTGCGACAGTTCACAACAGGATGTGGGGTTTACTTACATTACTCAATCATACAAAGATTCTCTGGAAAAAAGAAAAGGTGGTGCCATACCTCTAAAAACAGAAATTGTGGTCTAGAACAGGTACAAAGATATGTCACCCATGTTGGTGTGAAATCTCAAGAAACCAAGAGGTGGAAACAGCCAGAAGCTGACAGGATGCAGCTAGCTGACAGGGCATATAAAGACACTCCGACTAAAATGCAGAGGGCTGCAAGAGGCTGAACTGTTAGGAAAACCTCCCTGGGTGGGAAATGCTTGGAGATACAGGGCTTTTTTCTGCCTAAAGAGACAAGGGATGTAAAGAGTATTCTTGAGTAATGCAAATGTACTTTTTATTGCACTGCTACTTGTTCCCATTAAGCAGCTTGTCCACTGCATGCATACATGCATACCCACATTTGCACACAAGCACATGCTAACACACACCCATGGATAATACACATAAGACAGACCTCTCTCCCTTACCAAATCTCATCTCACACCCAAAAGCCATGCTTACCAAGTCGTAACACATGCACTGTTGTCACAAACACACACTAATGTACTAATAACACTTCCCTCTGCCCGCTCCCCTTGGAAACCTTATCCTCCCCACTTGAGGAGCCATCCATCCTGCTACAGGCAACACTGCATGTGCCACACCTAAGTTGCTAAAGTGACTTTCATCATAAGTGCAAAGATGCCCATGAACCACTACACAACCACACCCCATCTGACAATCCTAGGAGAGGCACCATCCAATCCAATGCAATTTTATGCAGTGGAAAATCTTGCTGCAATCAATGAGGCTGACTTCTAAGAAATACACGTAAGCGCTGCCTTTCTTGCATACCTTCTTCTATAAGCAGATTGCTACATTCCCTCGTTTGTTGCTATAATAAATTCAAGGTTTCAGGCACAATTCTGTGCAAGCTGAGACAGAAAAATGCTGTACAACTCTGAGTACTCCATTTGGTCTAATCTTGCATTGGATTGCATCTTTAAGAATTTAGGTTCTTAAACAGTCCTGAAAGGGTCAGACCAAGGGGCCATCCAGTCTGACATCCCATTTCCCACCCAGGAAAACAACCTCTATGAAGACTAATGAAGAAGAGAGGTTCTCCTGGCGCCGACTTTATACTCTTTTGGGCGCCAGGTAAAGACCTTTTTATTTAACCATCATTTTAAGAATTAAGGATTTTAGATGTTTTAAGATTTAAGATTACAGTCGCATTTTTTCTTTAGTTTTGCAGAATTGATTTATTTTTGTTATTTATTGTTTTAATCATTGTACTATTATTGTTGATTATAATTTTATTATTATTACTATTTTAATTACTGTAAGCCATCCTGAGATGTTTTATCAGGAAGGATGGGGTAAAAATGTTTTAAATGAATAAATACTAGCCCTTTCTGCTGCTCCTGCCCAGGAGCTGATATACAAAGATACACTGCCTCTGATCATGGATGTTCTATTTGGCCATCACTAAATGGGTTTGCACAGATTACAGTCTACTTCATCTGGTGTTGTCAGTACTCTCTGTAAACCTAAAGAAAATAAATTGAAATTAAAGGACTTAAAATAACCATGACTAACAAGTTTTCATTTCAATTGGTCTACTCAAAGTAGAGCTAGCAAGGGATCCAACCATGTATTACAGCAGGAAATTTGTTAAGCAGTCCTGCGTGTGTTTACTTTGATGTAAGTCCAGTTCTGTTTAATGGGTCTCATTCCTACTAAGCATGGGTATATTGGATCTCAGCTTCAAAGTCTCCAAACATCTTGGTTGTTTTTACTTTTCATTTGGTGCTGTTTCACTAAGCATCGTTTTCAACTGCACAAGAATCTCCTGCAGCTCTCCCCACATCTCCAGTGCATGGGCACCTCCCAGAATTTGTTAAAAGATGAAAGTGCATATTCCCAACTGCCCAAAAGCTTAGTTTCCATTGCACTTTTTTCAACAACTCCGCAAAAGGTGTTCAGCTCCTTATTAGACTAAAACTATATGCATCTCATAGGTAAAAATTTGCACACGCACGCGCGCGCACACACACGAACATAGCAGCGCTGCCAAAATTATATTCACAAAACATTCCATTGCCTCCATTTTTAAAAGGGAAATATTGAGGCTGCGGCAGCGGAAAGAGCTGGGGCGAAGCAACGACTCAGTCCCAGTAACTTCCAAGCCCTCCACATCTACCCCATGAAAACAGACGGTTACGTCGTTCATTCTTTACAAATAGCGTACGGAGGAGAGAAGTAATTTATCGAGGAGGTGTGGCAGCTCCAGACAGCCGTGCCGCCAAGAGTAAAGCCAAGAAACCTAAACGGGACGCGCTCCGTTCCCAAGTCCCCAACCCCGGCAGAATGCACCCCCTTTCGCAAAAGCCCATCCCAGTCGAGCCCTCCTCCCGAAATAACCTGGCTCCAGTCCTACCCTTCCCGTTTTTCACTTCCTAGATTGCTCTGACTTGCGCGCGCGCCCCTCTGCCGGGTGCTCGGGCTACTTCGTCAGCCCACTCCTCTTCCTTTAAATCCCCGGAGCCTTCCCGGCTCCCACTTTCTCGGTATTTTTTTAACCCTTTCCTCCGAACAGCCCCGGAATTGGGGCTCAGAAATTCCCCTTCTCCTGCTTATTTAACCCCTCCTTCCCCAGCTCCCTCATGCTTAACGGAGTCGGCCTCCTCGCTCGACCTGCAGGGTTTGCTCCTAAAGGACTTACTTTCAGGGGAGGGACTGGCACGCTGCTGCAACGGGGACCCCGAGGCGACGAGAGCGGAGAAAGATGCTCCGATCAAGGCAAAACGTCCGGGCGGGAGGGGAGCTGGGTGTGGTACTGGGGAGGGGGTTCGCCCTTGGGCCGGAGGAAGAAAAGGGTGGGGCGGGGGCGGAGATAGGGAGGAGGAGGAGGCGGCTATGATGGGGTGGTGAGTGGGGCTATGTCACTGCCGTTGCTAGGAGCGAAAAATACACAACAGACACCCACCCCCATCGTCCCGTAAAGAGGAAACCCCGCTGAATCGGCCCAGCGCTTCCCCTGCAAAATAGCCCAGCGCGCTAGTGGACAACCAGACGCTCCCAAGACATCGGCCTCCGGTTCAGGGCGTGGAGGCAGTAAGGGTGCCGCTCGGCCTGGAGCTTGGGGCCCAAACACAGGCACCCCCAGGCCAGGGTGGGGTCCCCAAAACGAGACCCCCACAAGACATGAAAGCATGCATGAGGGCGGCGGAAGCAAACCCCCGCTGATTTCGGCGGGTGTGGTGGATCTGTGACTTGGCTTTAAGATGCAGAACGACTTGAAGAGCTGTTGCTACTGATCCAATCCGGCTTGGCATGCATTCTAACACATAACAAAGAAAGCTGGGTGAAATTTTCTAGGTGTGCTTCATAGCTGAAGTAACACACCGTCATCTAAACAGGAAATCCTATACTATACTTGTTTAGAAAGAGAAAAGGCCTGCAACTCCCAGGGTTCCTCAGCATGGACTCCTTTCTGGCTAGACGTGCATCGGATTGCACCCTATGACGGTAGAGGCTAAGCTGTAATGGAGTTGCGCCAGACCTGTTCCTTCCCATCCTTCTATTGGACGGTTTCGCAGGTCATGACGGTCAAGTGGAAGCCGCTCATTGGTTGGTTTTCCTGCTGTGCAAACCCAGCCACAATCCCGCAATGTTGTCCCCCTCCCCAAACCCTTCAGAGTGAGTATCCGTGGACTGTTCTAGGGTTTGTTTTGCCCACTGTGGGTTACTATATTGTCCAAATCTGGATGACTAATCCTCTGGCTGTTTGTTCCCTTCCAGTTTTCATCTCTCTGCTGGTTTTTGTTTCCTGCAGCTTTTTTTTTTTTTTTTGGTTTGCACTAAAAATGACCCCCCCTTTTTTTGATATCAGAAAAGTTGGCTTCACAGCTGGCTTTCCCAGTCCTTCTTTGAGTAGCCATGAGCTGCCTCTTCAAAGTGCCCCAGCTGCACCTTGCAGAGGCCATGTTGACACCCAGTGTTTTTTAAATTTTTAGTTTTTACCGGTACAAACTTGAGCAAAACATCACATCTTTAAATGTTTTAAATCCTATTTGCTAATGTGCTCATTCATTGGAACTTGAGTGGATTTCAAGTCTTGGTTGAGGCAAAATCTAGGGCAGGTGTCCATCTTAGATACTGCACTGCCCTGTCTTGAAAACCACTCCCCCCCCCCCACATTTGTTTTGACAGATCACAGAAGGGCTAGTCCAAGTCCCAACATCCCCCTCAAAGCCCTCATTTTAAATAAACCCAGAGTTTGACAGGTACTGGTCACAACCGGATTCTTTTGGAAAAAAAGAAGGGGACTCGTGTTTCCTAAAGAGTCTGGAGAAAGTACAAAAGTGACTCTTTGTGGAGCTAAAGGGGAGAAAACAGATGAGAATCTTGATGAAAAGGAGTTCTAAAACCTGGAGTTTTGCACAGAAAGATCGCTTGTGTTTATGATCACTAAAGATAATTCAAGCTAGCTTTTCTGATCAACTCCCCACAAACAGAAAATGCGAGAGAGAGAGAGAGAGCGCGAGCCGCAGGGAGCTAGGGAGCCCGATTCCTGAACAACCAATCCACTGCTACAGTGGGTTGCCAATAAATTAAACAGCCAGAAATTGGCATTCTGTTCATGTGTGTTGTTGTAGAAGAACCAGTGCCCTGGATCTGTAGAACTGTCCCAGTTGCCTTTATCTGCTTTAATACAAATGTGCTTCATCTGTCTGACCGCAGTAACCTTGCAGTTACCAAGGGACCTTAGAATTCCCTACCTGAGCAGGTGATCCCTGTTGCATCTGATCCCCCCTGAAACAGCTGCCTTTTTGCCCACATGAGCTTTGCCTCCTGCTGCCCCTCCCTTTGAATCTTTCTGCATGAGGGTTTTTTCCTGAAATGAAATGCCTCCTCTCCCCTGTGTATACATCCCTATTTACAAATAGCAGTGTCCTTGGGAGACAGTGCTTTTTAAAGGCACACACTAAACACACCTTTCAAGCTGAGTGGGGCTCCCCCATAGGCAATAAGACATTCCTTATCCCCATCCAGAATGGTTTGGGGACTGGAGAACTTTCTTTCTGTATGTGTCTTCCCCCATGTTCCATGTCTGGGGCATTCGTTCAAACCCCACTACCCAGGCAGAGAGTTGCAAAGAGGCCTAGAATGGGGTGCACAACTGTTTTGGCCCCAGGGTCTCAAACACACAAGCCTGGGGTTTCTCTAGCTAGTGCTAAAATGGCAGCCCCTCGCCTCATCTCTGAACTCGGTGATGGAAAGGTTAGGCTGGCCTTCCTGATCTCCCATCTCTCATCAGAGTGCAAAATTTGGAACATCTCCTCTTGCTGAAGCTAACAAAGGAAGCTTTGGGCAGCATCCCAGCGGCCGATGCAGGGGGAGCTGGCTTGGCAGGCGAGGCTTCTGCATCCTCCTTGGGAGGCCAGTGGGTGGCCGCACCCGTCTTAGGGAACTGTCTGCCCACCAGGATTCATTAGGCCCTGACACTGGACTCTTTTAGGCAGCATGTGAAAAGATGGCTATTTCAGAAGGTTTTTGGTTAAAACTCTTAATACTAACCATTGATTTTTTAGTTCTTGTTTTTAAGAACTTTTAAATTGTTTGTTTGAGGTTTTAAGAAGGTTTTAAATATTGTTGACATTATTCACCACTTGAGTTCCCTTTCAGGGAAAGAGGTGGGATAAATGCTTTTAAAAATAAATATATATTGTATTGTGAGAAGGAAAAATTATCCCTCTCTGCCCACTCCATTGCCCTCTCCACACATGACTCATTATTTTATTAGCAGTTATAACTCCCTCCTATTTTGGTAACGTTTTCCATCTAAATCAGAAAAGCCACACCTTTCCAGGGAACGTCCTCTAACCTTCACCACTCTTGAATCATTTTGGCTGGCATTTCAGCGCCCTTTCTAGCTTTGCTAAAGAAGAATGGCCTGATCTTTGCTTGTGAGTATTCTTTACTCCCAGTAAACGCCGATGCTCTTGCCCAGATTGAAACTCTTCCTAACTTTCCCTCTGCCAGTGGCACAGCCACTCCCTGTGCAGGAGATTTGTCACTTCCTGCATTATTCCCTTTCTGAAGAACAGCCTGCTTTCATGCCAGGCCGCTCCTTTATAATAGACAAAACTACGGCTTCATGGCTTTACTAGGTAAACACAAGAACCAGTGTGGCGTAGTGGTTAAGAGTGCATGACTGGGACTCAGGTGACCTGGGTTCTAGTCCCCGCTCAGCCATGGAGCCAACTGGGTGACTCTGGACCAGTCACAGACTCTCAGCCCAACCTACCTCACAGGGTTGTTGTTGCAGGGACAAGACTGAGAGCAGGAGGAGAATGATGAAAGTTGTCCTGAATTCTTCAAAAAAGAAAAAGTGGGATATAAATCTAATAAAGAATCAGACAGGTGTCCTTTTTGCAAACCATAGTGGTGAAGAGATACAGCTAGAAGTATAGCTGCAGAATTCAGCTTCTGGGTAAACTAACCCTGGGCCTTCACAAGAAGCCTTCCAACCTCTCTTAGCCTCCATCCTCTGATCTGCAACATGGAGTGTAACAGTGCCTGACAAGCAAAGCAGCAAAAGCCTTGCGACACCCCAAGACGAACCAATTCATTGTAGCACGAGCAGCCTTCTCCAACCTGGGGTTCTCCAGATGTGTTTGATGGAAGCTCCCAGCATCCCCAGCTTGCTCCAGGTGCTAGGCTGGGGGTAAGAGTGACACAGCTACCCCACTGGAAGTTGTTAGTTCAAGAATTTGTGTAAGGCACAGAAGGCCACCAGTTGTTTTGATGAATCACTTCCATAGTCTGTTGCCACCCTTCGCTAACCTTGTGCCTTCCAGACCAAAATAACTGGAGGGACACAAGATGCCTTTCTTTGGCGTAAGGGTTACGAAAAGTAGCTAGTGCAAACAAAGCACATTTGCACAGGCAAATGGTATGCAACTATGTGGTATTCTTACGCTGGTGCACCCTAGCAACACCACTAGGGCCTTTTCTCCCATCCAAGTGCCAGAGGTGACGCAACAGCAGCTGATGCGCTAGGGCCCATTTCCCCTCTTCTTACATTCTTAAAGGTCCTCTCCAGTTGGAGTGCCTCACTTCAGTATGCAAAGTCCAATCCACCTAAATATTGTAGAATTTAATACAGCAGCCTCTCCGAACCCAGTACCATGCAGATGTTTTCAACGGAAACTCCTCTGACCTCTGGCTAGGGTGGTGGGGGCTGATGGGAATTATAGTCCAAACAACTGGAAGGTATCTGATCAAGGAAGCCCGTGGCAAGGGCTGCCTCCCACTGTAAGCACATATAATGCTGATTGAGTACCCCATAAGAGCCTTGATACACTCATTGGCAGGATCGGTTTGGGGTTTTCCCGACTTGTTTATCAGCAAACATTAATGCAGGGTGATCATCTATATATGGTGACACAGAATCCAAACAGCTTAGCTACTGGCTGTCGGTTACTTTCTATGCCACTAAATGTTGCTGTTTTCCCAGTTCCCCCAGCTCCCTCCTTCCAACCCACTGCTGCCATTTCCTCTCCCTAACTGGAAGATTCTTTCTAGGACACTGCTGACACCTTGTGGCTAACAGGTGGACTTCCATGAAATTTGCATGGCCATTTCTCTGCAGCATATCAAGGCATGCCCCCCCCCCCATCATATTGGTAGCTTCCACCCTAGCTCCCTTTAGTACTGATGAGAATTAAAACAGAGTGGTGTTATCCATCAAAGGCATGGCCAAGTTCCTTCCATCATATCTATTCAAAAGTCTGACAAAGTTCTGCAGTGTTAATTAACAGTCTGTCTTACACGGTTGGCTGTTTGACTGCTTTCCATTTTAACACAGTTCAGGGAATCACGATGAAGTGCCCTTATGCTGTTTCCCTGTAATGATGGGGGTTTGCTTTCTAGGGTGGATTCTGTGCAGAGGGAGTTTTTTTTTACTAGAAACAAATGAGTGAACGAAGAAAGGCGATTCTGGATAAATGGGCCAGCGTGGAAATAAGCCATCTCCTTTGCTTATCAACTCCTAGCGCACAACGCTGCACGGAAAGGCTGCAGTGCAGCGACAGAACACCCATGTTGTGTGCAGGAGGTCCCAGAATCTCCTGATGGGAACGGAAAACTGCTGCCAGTCAGCGTTGACAAACCAGGCTAGATGAACTCACAGCCTGCCTCAGGACCAGGCAGCCTCCTGTGTTCCTGTAACAGGTGGGCATGAGCACCAAAACACCTTGCTGCTCTTTCTCTTTGATGTGGACCTTTTGGCGAAATCCCCCCAGCAAACGGGCATGCCGCTACAAACCGATCAACTTCTTCCCAATCCACAGAAGTGTTCAACCGTCAGCATGCAAACTTTGGGTCCCCTCTCCCTTCCCCCACAAAATTCACGAGACGCCGACCATGGAATCTGCCAATTAAACATGTTTAATAATTTAAGTTTTGATTTACACTGATAATCGAAACGCAGCAACCAATTCCACCTGTCACAGGGACTGGGCGTGTGTCACCCTACCAGCACCAAGCCCCATCTGTACCCTTCCCACACACACCTTCCACGCCCGCGGGAATAGCAGGATTGAAAGAACGCATGCGCTCTCCTTCAGGGAAACTATCAATGTATTTTGAAACCATGATGATTATTCTCTGGGAGAAGAACTGATTCCCCAAGATGCTTCTCTGGGACATTGCAGAAGGAATGAAATAAAGGCAGCCTTCCCCAGCCTGGTGCCCTCCAAATATTGGACTGCAACACCCAGTTGGCTGAGAATGGGACTTGCTGTTCAGCACATCGGGGGGGGGGGCACCAGGTTGGAGAAGGATGAAATAGGAGTGCTACAGAGGAAGTTTGGGGGCCAGGGACTGATGTAAGGGCAGCATCTTTGTCAAAATAATTGAGAATTAAATGCTAACAGAGTTAAGAGAGAATGGGGGGGGGGACACATTGGGAAAACTGGCCCTTAGTGTATACATCACAAAGAGTGTGGTTGTCATGTACATTTTCACATGAAATCGCCAAAACTGTCACATACTCATGCAGCCTGCGGCTGGCAGGGGTAATCAGGAGGGCTGCATGGGTTTGACGAAGCCTCCTATTAGGTGCTCACGTGGTCAAAACCATACTGTCTTGAGGAACATGTTTGTCTTTTCGTTTTATAAAAAAAAGTAAGAAGTGTAGCCTAGTGCCATTTCCCTCACACAGCGGAAGATACATTGTGTTCCCCCTTTGGGCCTCCTCTGCTAGGTCAGAGAGCTCTGAGGACTTGCTGGTGTCTCCAGAACAGGAAAATCAAAGCACCGGGGCACTGGCGTGCGGGTTTCCTGGCACGAGATGGCTGCTGGCGGGACAGAGGGCATGTCAGTCATCTGTTTCAAGTTGAACAGGGACATTTTTTTTAGAATCAGGAAGCTGAGCATTTCTGCGCAGAAACCACCAAATGTACTTATATTACCACTTATACTACCAGTTGCAGCACTGCCCTGAAATGGAGAACTATGGGACAATTGCCTTTATGCAAAAAGTTCCATCCCATCACTTCCTTTAAAGTTTCCTTTTAAGTTGCAATCTTTCTTTGCAAAAGGAGTCAAATCAAGTAGTTTATACAGGCAGGCAGGCAGGCAGGCAGTGAAGAGTTTTGTTAATATCTGGGCCTGTGTGTCAGGCTTCACCAACAGGGTAGATCTGTCCTGATTGAACAAGCAGCTGAAACAGGGACAGTTCCTCCGAGAGGGGAACACATCTTCCAGGATCAGCAGCAGTGTGACGTTCCTGCTGGGTGAAGGGCACCTCCAGGCACGTCAATCATCCTGAACATGAGCAAGGATGCAGAGGGCATCGGGGTTAAGAGCAGCCGTGCTGGGACCACACCATACAGCAACCCCGTCTGTGACATCTTGCCTTCTGTCTTTTGCCAGACTGTAAATAGATCCCTACTTGAGTCAAGAGACTGGAAGTTGTTTCTTGCTTGTGTTTGTTCCAGGAAGTGCAGAGGCCACTTCAGTCTGTGTATTTTTCTTTATGGAAAGAGCCGCTGTCTTGCTTAGGACCTGCAGTTGGGAGAAAAGAAACCCTCCACATTACTCCCATGCAACAGAATCGGTGGCAGAGATGCCCGCTTGTATGTATGGAGAATGCTCAGTGGATGACTGAGACCGCTACTGGGTTGTGTCTGTGTGTGCCTGCATGTATGTTTGTGTATAAAATAGTTACATAGACAACTCCATCCCTGAGATTAAAAAACCCGAATAAGCCCCTGTAGGCAGGACTGGGATCGAGTGTGGGCACGGATGGACACTTCCTGAGGCCCACATGCCTGTTGGGGGCTCACTGCCAACCACGGGCGCCTCCTGACCATGTGGCTGCAGCTGCTCCCTGCCACTGCCCAGCCACCCACCTCGTCGAGTGTGCATGTCGTGACGAGTGTAAGCAGCAGCAGCGGCAACCTCCACACACCTGCCCTGCTCTCCCTCTGGGCTGCTGCACAGGTGGGTGGACAGGAAGTATGGATTTGTTTCCGTGGAACTATTTAATCTTTCAAGCATGTACATGACGCACTGAGCTTGAGCACAGCTTTAATAACTAATGGATATACCAAGAGGAGGAATTTGAATAGGAAGGTGGAGAGTACAGGTACACCAATTTGAGGAACACATGCTCCTACCCCCGCCCCCAAGCCACCTGCTTCTGAAAATGCTTCCAGAGTGCGGGCCTAATCCATTAATTTCAGGAAGAAGATAAGGGAATGCCTTCCTCTACAGAAATCAGAGAGGAAGAGAATACTGGGAAGACATCATTTAACTCTCCCTCCTGGCACCAGTAAAGCTGTTGCTCTGGAAGACCCATCCCCTCTTGGCCATTCCAAGCTACAAAGATTTCATCTCCTCTCGTAAGCTCTTCATCTCTCCCTCACCACACACACAAAAACAAGAGAGGCAGGGAGTCTGCCATGTTGCTGGGACTTACATCCTTCAGAACTTTTTCTTTGAGCTCTTCATGAGTTAAGGGTCTCTGGTCGTCTTCTGTTATTGGATCATGACCAGGTCTGCAAAGAGAGAGGGTGGGGAGGAAAACAGACTCCTTTGAAGGAACTGCTATAAACCAGTCCTTTCCACAACAGAACAATCCTGGTTTGTGGCTTAGAATCCACTGGTCCCTGTGAATTCCGGGAGAACCTAGAAATGCTGATCCTATGTTCTTCTTGGGGTTTTGAGCTTCTAATCCTTCCCTTTCTCTAATTTAACCCACTCTGTTCAGCAATTCTGCCCTTTACTACTAGAGTTCCCATTGCCTTTCCCTGATGCATTCTGAAAAAGATTTTGGATGTTGATTCGTTTTTAGTGTGTGAACTGTTTTTGGTTCCATTTGGGGTCGATGATTTGGGCATAAATGGTCTTATTTTTAAAAAGAGACGGAAGCAAAATAGAACATCCTCTCAAAATCCAACCAATCGTAGACTCCAATTCATCTGGAACCATCTTGGGGTCCTTTAGCAGGTCACATCTATCCAATGCGAAGAGTTTGCTGCCAAAATCATTCATCTCTCAGCCCATGTCTGCGAAGTCCATCCTTACATCTTGACAACTGGCTTTCTCTCTGCTCCCGTGTCTAACCTTCTTAAGGCCTGCCTTGCCCATCAGCTCCCTCGTATCTCTGCTGCTGTATCACAATAGACCAGAGACGCAGCAAGGGCCACCACTGAACGGATTATGTCAGTGTAGCAGCTCCCATGCCCATTTCAACTTGGCAAACACTGGAAGCAGCAGCTGGCATGGGGGCATGGCTCGTGCTGCATCCAGTGTGTGCCACACAAAGCCACTTGGCGAACAGGGGTGGCAGTGTGGTCCCTTGACCCCTGGAAGTAGCTTACCCCCATAACATTATTAATAATCACACTGAAAGACAAGCAAAGCCTTCAATAAACCAGTCAACTAACAAGCACAACTTCTTCCTGGCCCACAGATGGGATAACAGGGAATGTTTCAGTGAAGCTGAATTTTCTGCAGTTGATCAATGAATAAAATTATTCACACCAGAGAGACTTTCCAGGGGATAGTGACTGGGCTTAATTCATTACATCCCATACCCATCCTTAAAGGTCTTCTATGGCTTTAACCCAGCAGATGGAAGACGTGGGGGAGAAAATGTGCAGCAAGTCTCAAGTACCAACAAAAAAACTTTTATTATTGCCCTAAGCACTTTGGAAATGCAGATTTCCTTCTTCTGGAGTCATAAAATGCAAGCACACACCATTCTGGTTATTTGATATAATAAAATCATAAATAATAAAAGTGTTTCCCTTGGCACTCAGAACTTAAAAATTTTCTCTCCTGTTATTTCCTCCTCCCCCTTCGGTTTCCACACAGTTAGTCCCATTCGGCTCATAAATATCCCCATTTCCTTGATTCTACACCTGTTCACAATTTCTGCCCCATGATTGCCTTTGGCCATAGCAAGGCTGCTTATAGTGACATTGCACTTAACCTTACTCCCTGTTTATTTATAATATTTGAATTCTATCTCTGCAGCTAAAAAAGGTATGCAAGACAGCTTTGAAAATAATTAAAAATAACCTAGCTCAATAAAACAATTTTAACATCCATTGTGAGTGTCTATGTATAAAATAACAACCAGTTCACAAAGTGATGACAGAGACGGCAGGAAATTATTCCAAATTCCTCCCAGCAAACCAACCTTTTCCAAGTGTCATGAATTCCACAGTATCACAGCCTGGTTTTTCACTTCCTGCAATTTTATGCAAATTTAGTCATAGAAATAACCCTCCCCCGCAAAAAGACAGAAAACACACATCCCTCATAGAATAAAGAATGGAAATGAGCAACTTGGAGGGATTATACATGTTTGCAGGGAAGGAGAGATTTGCATATTTTTGGAAGTGTGAATCTGCACATTTGTGCGAAAAGCAGTTCCATTAATGAGTGGATAACGCAACTGTATGTGCCTGAAAAACCACAAAACACAGACCAAAGGGATTTTACAAAGTCGGTACATCTGGATAAATGCAGTAGGGCACGCGGAGCAAAGCTCCGGCTGGTGATCTTCCACGGCTTCATGTGGGAGTAGATGGCTTTCTTACCCAGCAGTGGGCGGTCGAAGGTTGACAGAAAGTGGTCGAGCCGCGGGTGTCTGTCCCAAGAGCAGCTGTGCTGTCTCCACAGTATCATAGGGCTGATCTTGTTCCTGAGAAGGGACAGAGAGGAGAGTTAGGGGGCAAAGATCAGTGTTCCCCTTCCCTGTGAGGTTTAACTTGTGGCTCTGTCCCGCCCCATCAATTAATCCAGACCCATCTGTTTTCCTAGGTCAAGCCTGAGTTGTAAAGATAGGTGTGGCTATTATGAGAAACTTGGCTTTCAGTTAAAAGAAAAGTTTCTTACAGTCGCAGAAATGCATTTGAAATGTTTTCTAAAAAATGTAAAATGTTAACTGATCAGCAATGCGGCAGAAGAAGCAAAAGCAACATGAAGCTTCCAAGTAGCTCTACTCCACTGTATAGTTCCAAGGAATTCTGTTTTTCCTACACTGGGGCAGCTATTTAGGACACCCATGAACAGTTTGATCGGAATGGAAAAATCTACACAGCTGTTTTGCAGGAAAAGATCAGTGCACAGGGTCTGTCCACCAACTGTGGTCCCATGCTTTCTCTACAAAATCAACGTGCATTTTCATGTCTGATAAAATATTTTCCACATGTTAATTATAACACCAAAATGGAGTTGTATAGCTTGGGGAAAGTCAGCAGAAGGTTGCTTCATGCTGTTCTCCAGGGCTTTAGGGAAAAGACACGCACTACTGACAGAATGCACAGGCTAGAAACCTGGAATGTTGCACACCTCAGCAACCGAGTAGGAGTACATGGCCAACAGGTCATTGGTCTTTTGTTCAATCAAGCCCAGGTAGATGGCTACGTTTTCATCCCGGGCAGTTGTCGTTCCTCCCAGTATATTTTCCAGCATTGAGTGGTCACACTGTAGTTTCCAAAAGAGGGATTCGATCGCTTGGAGGAGGAGGAGGAGGAGGAGGAGGAGGAGGAGGAGGAGGAGGAGAGAACACAAAATAAGTGAATCCAGGCCCACAATGCTCCAAACACTAGCACTAATTTCTTCTCCCCTCCCCAAGAACCTGGAAATCTTGGGTTCAACTTCACTCTGTCCTAAAGGGTAAGCACCACAGATTAACACCAAGTCTGTGCATTTGTCTCAACGGGTTTTAATGCCACCGTCTTCTGTTGGTCAGCCATCCGGCCGTCCTGTGACTAGCAATTCCAAAAGACAGGCAGGAGTCTGGTGACTGTTTTGTTGGTTTGTTTTCCCAGACAGCTGAAGGCAGTTTGAAAGGATACACCAAAGGAAGCAAACCCTCAACTCTCTTAAATGCTGTCTGTCTCCAGCCTTAATTACATGTTATATGGGCAGTGGGCTGGGGTGGAGGACTTCCTTTCTTTTGTCCCAGACGTACTGCCAATCCATTCTACTGCACTCGCCCAAGTTCTCCTGTCTCCGAAAAGAAAGTATATTTTCTCTGAATGCCACTGTGCCCTTTGGACCAGGAATGGGGAAACGGTGGCTCTCCAGATGTTGTTGGACTGCAGCTTCAGTGTATGAACACTGGCTGGCTGAGGCTGATGAGACTTGGAGGGTTACAGGTTGCCCTCTCCCTGCAAGTTCACCCTTCTGCCAAAAGAACAGAAGTCTCTCTCTACTCACTGGCCATACATCCATGATCCATGCTGGCTTCTGTGGCCAATAACTCCCTTCCTCAACACACCGCTCATTGACTACTTCAAGCTCTTCACACCATGGAGCTTTTCTTCCTGCCTTCGCTAGCCATTGACTCAGCTGCTCCAGTAGCCAATACGACTGAGCAAAATCTACTTTTAGTTTCCTAATGGCAGGAGTAGGCAACCTGATTGGCTCTCCAAATGTTTATGCCTCCTACTCCCATGATCCCTCACCATTGGCTCTGCTAACTGGGACTGACTGGAGTTGTAGGTCAAAACATGGCCAAGGTCAAAGTCGCCCACCTCTCTCAATGGATGTAATAGGATGGCCTTACCAGGGTTTGGGCACCTGCATTCACAGTGAAAAGCAGGCGCATGGGGGAAATGAAGTTCCCACAATCATGCTAGGGAAAGCTGAAGGCAGAAGACAAAAACAAGGACCAGATAAGAGATGGTTTGACTCCATAAGAGAGCCACAGCCTTGAATTAGGGATGTCATGACAGGGCATTTTGGAGAGCTTTCTCTCAGAGGATGGCCGTAAGTCAGAGACAACACACAACAACAACAACACTGGGGGGAGATCACGGAGCAACCCACAATTCAATACTGCTGGCCTGCTACTGAGATCTGCTGGATGATTCCCCCACACACCTGAGGGTTTGCTGTGAGGGCTCAGCATCTGTCACAGAAAGAGGCATCCAGAGAATCTCAGACAACGTCCCTAGACTTCAAGGCGGTCGAAAAACTGCTTCTGAGCATGTTTGTGGCTCCCCCTTCTCAGCTGTCCAAATCTCTCTAATGGTGCCTCCCCAGGTAGAAAAACCTCTTCCCTCCTGCTTTGCTTACCACTCTTGAGCTGCTCCCATATTTTGCGGAGGCCCTTCAGTTTAAGCTCAGCCCGGTTTGTCTCCTGAATGGCTGCCTCAACCTGTGCTTCGGTCTGCTGCAGCCTTGACAGCTGCTCCATCTCCTTCTCGTTATCCTGCTTTCGAACCTCCTCTATCTCACTGCGGAGCTGGAGGACCAGATTGGGGAAAAGGTGGGTGTCTTTCTACTGTTCCAGGAGGGCAGCATCAACAAAGTACATTTGCAAGGGAGGGACATATACAATCAGCGCAGGACCCGGACAGGGAGGGCATGGAGAGTTATACTTGAAAGGGTGTTGTACAAAAGTCTCACTTTGGGTTGAACGACGCCAGGCCAAAGTCAACGTTGTGCCAGGAGGAAGGAAAAGTCACATATAGCCCTATCTCATGACCGCCGGTGCCCCTCCTCAGCTGGCCCCTGTGACTTTACCAGGCATTGCCTACGCATTATTTTACAGCCTTAAGGGCTAGTAACATGTTTTGTTTTCCAGTGAAAGCTTTGATTTGCCATATGCTAACAGGCATATATCCCATGTACTCGTAAGAAGAGTGGCACACGTTTGGGTCCCTCCTTGAAATCCTTGACAAAACGCACTTTCCTGGGGCTGCCTCATTTGGGGGTGGGGTGGGGTTGGGGTTAGGGTTAGGTCAAGTTCTGCCACCAGAACACACACATTCTGCACAAAGCGGCAGAGTTCCGCTAATGTGCATCTAGTCCACTTACCAGATCTGCTCTCCCCACTCCACCCACCCCAGTACAGAGGCCCGTGTTATCTTAGCTGCAGACACCGTACACAGAGCTTTCTGGGGGCAGCTGCATGCAGAAATGGCTCTCTGATCTTCTTCACTGACCTGGTTGATCTGGTCCCACAGCAGCTCCTTCTGGTTGTTTTGCTCATTGACATAGTTGAACTGAGCAAAGTTCCATTCCTCATCTGAGGTGGGAAGGAAAAAAGTGAGCAGCCCGTTTCAGCTCACATCCCACTGCCTGAACCAGCCAGGGCCCAAACTGGTTCACCGGCAGCACCCCCTGGAAGGAAAGTCCCCAGACCCCACGCCATGGTGGTCTCCTTGCCTTTTCCCAGAGCACCGATGGAGAACCAGCGGCCCGTGGGCCACAGGCAGGCCCCGGCTGTCACGCAGAGCTCGGCCCATTCCAAAAGCCATGCACACTCCAGGAATATGAACCCTGATGGGTTTTGGCCCAGCTAACCTATCGGGACCCTCCGCAGGAAAAAGGCTCCCCACCCCTATACGTGAGAGTCATGGTCCCTTCCCCACAGCAGCCTCTGCCAGGTACATCACCTTTAACATATTTATTCAGTGCGAACTCCAGGTTTGCGGTGTCAGTTATCTCCAGGATTTTATCCAAAGTGCAACTATACGACTCAATCAGCTCCTCCTCGGGGTCCTTCTTTTTGCGCTCTTCCTCTGAGATAAGATGTTTTAATAAATAAATAAATAATAAATAAATAAGATGAAAGAATCTAGGAGTCCCAGTACTTGCCATACCCTCACTTTACTTCCAACAATGCTATACTCAAAATCATGTGGCTTTTTGCCCCAGTCATGCAAATGCATTAAAAAGAGTGGGAAGACCACCCCATATTTTTCATAATTCTTCAGCAGAGCTGCAGTGTTTGATTAGATTGACTGACCAAATAACCTTTAATCAACTATTTTATTGTTTTAATTTTGAAACTACCTTTTCATCCGAGCAAAATCCAGGGCAGCATGTCATATCATCACCTTTCATACAACTAGGAGGCATCACAGCCATGAAACTGCAGAAAGAGGCAGGAACAGCCAAATTAAAAGGCCTGGGCAAATGAGAACGCCTTGTCCTCTTGCCAAAATGTCTGGAAGGCTGGCATCCACTGAACTTCCTGGGGGAGAATGTTCCAGACTCGGGTGACACCAGAGGGAAGTCCCCTCCTTTGTACAAGGCGTAGGATATGGCCCCAATTTAAGTCCCTCGGATGAGGGTCTCCCAGGGAGATTTTAATATACAGGAAAGATGGTATGGAAGGAGGAGCTCCTTTCAGTAATTCAGGTCCCAAGATATTTGGGGCTTTAAAAGGAAGCGCTAGCACCACCAGTTGGGCTTGGCAACGGAGTTAATTCTTTAAAAATTGGGGTAATGCGGCTCCAGCGGGCTAAGCCGCCTAAATTCTGAGGTAGTGGAAGCTCCTGAGTCATCTTCAAGGGCAGCGCCATGTATAATGCATTACCCTAGTAATCCAATTGTATGGTTTCCAGAGCGCCGATCGCTGCAGCCCATACGATCCTTTTGTCCGAGAACAGCTGCAGCTGGCAAACCAGCTGAAGCTTTTCATACAGCGTCTCCTCCTGCCCCATTCTTTGGGCAGCCAAGTTTGATTTTCATTAATACTTTAAAAAGCTATGGACGGCAAGTATCATCTTAGGACAGGCACTTGGCCTTTTCTCTCGGACACAAGTAACGTGCAGAAGGGACACATTTTCTAAATGATGCTTAAGAAAACATGCACATATCATGACTGAAAGCAAATGGACTATGCTTCTTGCTTCAGAAAGACAGTTTTGACCCATATGCCACGGGGATTGAACCTACAGTACAAATTTGGCCCCTCGCGGTTTGCCCAGGTGTCCAGGTTCCCTTTCCCAGCCACTCCCCCTTTCCCCCATTCACCTGGCAGTCTCCTGGCTCTTGCAGTTCCCCCCACTTCTAAAAGGTTAATATGTTTATCCTAAGGGTTCGCTGCTAGCATGAAGTTTTGAGTTAAAGTATCTTAGTCGTTTTGGCTCCACCCCTTTCACTTTTGGCCACGCCCACCCCGGAATGTGATCTCTATGACTTCTTGAAATGAAAGGTGTACGCAAATTTAAATCAACAGATTATTTGACTGAATACTCATCAGCAACTAATTAGAATGTTTTAACTGGGCTGCAGTCCTTTGCTCCTGCTACTGTTACTAGGAGTACAAAAGAATTGGCTGCAGTGTCCTGGGGAATAACTGGCAATAAAAACTTAAGATTTAAAAGGGGTTCATTGCAGCAGACCTAGGAATCTTGGCTCCCCAAATCTCTTGAGCTCGAAACCAGGACATTCCTCCTGGAAGAGCCAGCTGTAAGCCACGAGACACAGCCAAAGGCAAGGACAGGCCAGCTCCAAGCTGCACCCTAACATACAAGTACCTTGTTTTTTCTTGGCCTTCAGTGCCTCCTCAGTCAGCATCCTCTCCTGCAGCTTGATGGCGATGAACTCAGACATGCGGCGGTCATTGTCTAGGATGCGGTCCAGCTCTTTCATCTCGGATTCGTGCTGGTGGAGATCCTTCTCTGCCTTGTCCCGCAGCTGGCTCAGGCGGGCATGGGCCTCATCCCTGCCATTACCCCAGATGGATTTGAGAGAGGCAAAGTACATAGGCTTTAAAGTCTACGAGTGTCTTTAAAGGAATCTGTCTCCTAAGGACACCCCATTTGTAAAAGGAGAAGCGTGGAGAGAGAAGGCAGGGGAAGGGATTTGATTTCAGGGGGAACGGGAAAAACATAGGCAGAAAGATTCAAGGACTGGGAACAAAAGGATATGAAGCGCATGTGGACAAAAAGATGGCTAATCCAGGAGGATCCGATAAAACAGGGATCATCAGAGTTCCCATACCTTTTTCTCAGCAAGTGCCTGTGGAGAGCAGCCGGCTGGGACAGAGGGCCTCCCTTAGATTTGGGGCGCCAAAGGAAAGATTCGAGGCAGTAGCCCTGCTGAGTTGCCCCACAAGGCTGCTGATGGTTTCATATGCTATAGGCCGAAACCAGGCTCTCACCTACTCATTTTGCAAAGCTGCGGAACTATATTCCCCTACCATGAAAGTGTGTGTTGCCCTTACCAAACAAAACCTTGGGCCATTTCTAGAGAACTCAGAATCCACAACTCTGTTTGCTGGATGGGTTTTGTGAGTTCATGGGAATGATCTCACAAGGGAGGAGGGGAAGCATCAGATGTGTAATTAAGCAAAAACTGTGCATGAGAATATTTAAGGTAATTTTCTAGTCCTTATGGTCCACAGAATTGTCCATGAGGGATGTGTGCAGAACTCTTGACACCAGGAGGAGACTTGGCAATCAGAAGAGGGCTCCAGTGCTCCAGAGAGCATCTTAGCCTTGCCTGCCCTTAGCAATATAATGCAAAATTAAGCACTGAAAATCAAATCTGCATGCATTTATGAAGGGCACAAGATACTTTGTTTCTTGGCCCAGAATCCAGGTGACCTCAATGCAGAATATTCATTCAGATACGTGCAGGAGATACATGGCCCTGTCTTTATAAGCCAGAGCTAAACTTGGAAGCTAGGACTTGGGAGAAGGAACGTGGCTAATATTTGTTCAGCTACTTTTGTTCACAATACATCAACAGGGCAGCAGGGCACTTCAGAGACTGCGAGGAACTGAGTGGAGACAAAACGATGAGATTTCAGCAACACAGGGCAGTATCTGGATCCCCTGTTCAAAGCACCCACTCCCCTGTTCTCCCAACCTTGCATCGTAGGCAGCTGAAGATGTGCTAATGATGGCCCCGACAGCTTTACGGGTGTCCAGCAGCTCCTGAGGAATGAGAGAGAAAGTGGGGGAGAAGCCTTCAGAACCTTCTGACAACACACCTCTCTCAAGTGGCTGATGAGGTTCTGCCCTCTTTCTGTAGCCCAACCACATCACTTCCTCTTTCTCCAAACCTCTATCACCTCCAAAACAGCCGAGGATCAACAGCATTTTCTTCTTACCTCTTCTCAGCTCCACACGAACATACAAGTATTAGTCATGCCAGTCATTTATTTATTAACTATAATGCTCTCCCACTTTTTTCTTGTAAGGAACCAAGGTGACTGACATAGTCACCTTCCCCGCCCCTTCATTTTCTCCTCACAACACCCCTGTGAGGTAGGTTAGGCTGAGAGTCAGCAACTGGCCCAAAGTCACCCAGTGAGCTTTGTGGTCAAGTGGGGACTAGAACCAGATCACCTGAGTTCCAGTCCAGTGCTCTGACCAGCTTCATACCACATCTGAATTTTCTTCAGGATTTCTCATTTCCTTTCAGCCTGAATTGCAGAATTCACCCATACATTTGGCTGATTTCCAATGGCATGGAAAATTGTAAGTTGTGTTTAAACAGTTTAATTCAGCCAACTTGTTTGTGCTGTCCAGTGAAGCAATCTAGATTTTCCTTTTCTTTTTTTAAGGGTGGCCAATTATGAGCATAGTACTGGAATCAACAGGATCCCATTGAACACTAGCTCAGATCTGTAGATCAGCTTGCATTTGAGAAACTCCATAAAAAGGGGTTGTTAACTAGGAATTAATTCATGAAGTTGTCAGGTTCTGACCTATCTAGGAGACTCAGTAATGATAAACAGACATTCTACTTGGGCTGAATGAAAAACATCCAAACAGACTGGGAGAAGGAGAAGGCAGCAGAAAGTGGTCTTTAGTATTAGCCTCCAATGGGGCATCGATTTAGTAACATAGGAATCGAGCAGGGTCATTATGTCTTTCCATGTCAGAACCTAGTGGCCCAATTTGTACTCTTAGATTTACTACAAAAAATGTGTTTTCATATTGCATGATGTTAGCAGATAGTAGTAGGCAAGGAGTGCGATTCTCTCTCAGCCAATATAAAGCTTTGATTTTTTTTTAACAGCATTCTCAACAGCTGATCACCCCTTTCCATTGTGTGTGGAGTTCTCACCGAGCAACCGGACACCAGAGTTCTGCAACAGAACCCACATTCACCTGCATTGTGACCCCAGCCCCGCTCAGAAACTCTGTTTGCCAATTCTATCCCACCAGCTTTCTCCACTTTTTCCCAAGCATGGCCCTACCTTTTCCAGATTCTTATAGATCTGTTCAAAGCGATCGTGGCCAACCCGGAGAATTTCTAGATCCTCACGTAGCTGTGAATTCACAACGAGCTGAGAATCGAATTGCGAGGAGGCCTGGAAATTAAAAGTGGAATGAGAAAAGGAGTGACTATCCAGGAGTCCTGGCTTTTGGCAAACCTGAGGAGTCATGCCCACCTTTTACCTTATCGAGTTGGTTCTCCACTGTTTGTATCCTTCTGAGCAAGCGGGCCTTCTGTTCCTGGATCAAGAACTCGCTGCCTGTCGCCTGCTTCTGGCTGGCCAAATGCTTCTGCCATGCTTCGATCTGTCAGTGATACAGGGAAGGAGAAAACAGAAATGGGGGTGGGGGGCTGGTATCAGACATGAGAAATCAGTATTTGAGATGGGACTGAAGAATCCCAGTTCTCCATTTCTCTGCTCTAACAAATTACAAATTTGACCCTGGGTATCCCGGCTGCCAACTCTCACAGCATTCTACACCCCACTTTTCTTCCAGAAGATCCAGTTCTCCTTCAACAATTCCTCTTCCTCTTTACTGGATGTGAGGAAAGAAGCATGTGGTGGTCGGGGTGGAGCAGGATGGGGAAAAGACACAATTTTCTTACCGGACCCTGTTCTGCTGCCCACTTAAACTACCTGTTTGCTGACCACTTTCTGGCTGCATTCTGCTGCCTGAAGGCCCTGGCTCCCAATTTTGCTGTTTCAAACCCCTAGGGCCCACTGTGCTTTTCAGAGCCCTAAACATCTCCGTTCTCCGCTCCCTTCAGCACACCTCTTTGTCCAGCTGGGCCAGCCGCTTCTTCTCCTGGGTGACCTGCTGCTTCACCTCATCCCGCTGCCCCAACAAGGAACGGAGAGTATCACCTCTGAGCTTCTCCTGCTTCAGGTTGGCATGGCCTTCCGCCACCGCTTGCCTGCGCAGCAGGTCTTCGTTCTCCTTCTTCAGGCGCTTCACCTCTGCCCTGTCCAAGAGAAGGGGGTCCGAGGCTGTCAGGGGAGGCAGGACCACACGACGGGAGGAGGCCAGGCGGGCACGGATGGGTGCTTCATGGCAGTGGTGAGCTTTAATTGGGATTCGTGGCAGTGCCAGCTCAGAGATCTTTCTTAAAAAGTGCTAAGGGAATTCTGTGGGTCAGGGTAGAAGGCCAGGGCTTGGGGGTTCTCCAGGTGGCAAGTAAAGCTGCGTGACCTAGATCAGCATAGGAAGAAGAACAGGAGCCCTGGATTCACTGGGAAAGCAGCATATTAAAAGGGCAGCATGCACAGAATCCAAGGCGCTACAACTGAAACTGCCTCAGTCTGCAGAAACACCTCATCCTGGGCATCTCGCAGCTGTGTGTTCGCGTGCGAGACAGGTGGTGAGGTGAGGCGTGTGGTCACTTGTGTTGAAGAAGGGCAGATCCCACGGGCACACCCATTTAGGGTGACCAAGCTGATTGTTGATTGTGTGTCGCCAGGAGCATGTCAGTTGCTGCATGCTCCTGTGTTATGTCAATGTCTGCATCGGCTTGCTATGGGAAGCAGGGAAGAGGAGGGAACGGACAACTAATCAAAGTTCAGTCAACAAGTGTTTTCTTGCCACAGGATGTACAACATCCAGAATCTCGCCAAATCCAAAACTGAGAAATTCAAAATAAGAAATGGAAGTCAGAGGATAAGCACAGGGCTCCACCTCTACACCAAGAAAGATGGCCAGGAGATAACACTCCTCACAGAGATGTACTCCAGATGCTCCTGGAATTGTGGTGGGACCGAAAAATAGAAGGTGAGAAAGGGCCAACCGAAGCAATTTAAGGATTTGACAGTGGTTAAAAAGAGGGATAAGAGCTTCTGTTCTGAGTATACCTTATTCCTGCCCGATTTTTTAAAAAGTGCAGGTTTTTGTAGCATTTCCAAAATTGTTAGGCAGGAAGAAAAAGCACAGCAAAAAGAAACATATACATACACCCTGAAAAGTAAAGTCTCTCCCAAGCCACTTCAACGCTCTTAAGAGCTCTGTTTACTTTCAGCATAAAAGGAATGACAGTTAGACTATAACTTTCTGCTGAACCCAGAGGGGAAAATCCTTTCCACACACCTCACACATTTTCCATGCTTAAAAAAAATTTCCAGTGAGGCAGAGTGTTGGTGAAGGGTATTAGAAGAATACATACATCTGTCTGCGGATGGTTTCACGGGATTCCAAGGTGTAGGCATGACGGTTGCCTTCTAAGAGACGGAACTGGCGCTGGAGTTTGGCCAGCTCAGTTTCAGCTGTGGGAACACAGTACCGGTTTAAAAAGGAAGAGGAGACAGAGGAAAGAAAGAGAGTTAGAAAGCCCAACATAGTGGTCTTGTACCTTGGATCTTTTCCTCTTTTCTGGACTGGGAGGCCCTGCTGAATGCCCCTCCCATCAGACTTATAGCAGAAATTGGGGTAAGAGACCATCACAGTCAACAGTCCAGGAAAGAAGGGAACTTTCTTGCTGTCTTTGGCTTACAGTCAAGAGCAGCTTAAAAACACCTAACGGTATTCCACTCCATGGTATTCCAAGTTAATGCCTTTTACATTCCAAGTTGACTTTATTAGGCAGGAGACAGATGGTTCTTTTTAAGAGAGCCCAAAGTAGGTTAGGGGAGGCTTTCTTTTCACCCCTGATCAAACATCTTTTTCAGGACTGTGGTCCCCCTATAAAGATACAAAAGCCCCTGGAAAAACTGTTTGCCAGAGGCAAAAGCAGGTTGAGTGCATATATAATGTGCCAAACCAAAAAGGTATATTCCCTCTTTCAAAGAGCCTTCAGTCCTCCTCTCCACGTACAGAAGAGAATGGCTCTCTGGCTTTCTCCGATCTATGACTGCATTTGACTCCCATGTAACAAAACGGAAGGCTTCTTCAGCTAAGGTTCTGTCTCCCGACCAGACCATCATTCAGTTCTCAACATTTTGCTCTTACAGCAGGGCAGTGGAAAGTTTGGCCCTTCAGATGTTGGAGGACTCAGATTTCTCCCAGCTCCAACCAGTGCGCCTAACAGTCAGGGATTATGGGGTTTTGTAGTTCTGCAGCACTGGGGGGGGGGTTGTCCACAGATCCCCACCCCAACCAGGACCAGCAATGGGAAGAGCAGGAGAAGCTGTGCTGCCTTCACACAACTTCATTTCCCACATTGTCAAGGGAAGCAGCCAAGGAGGCCATGATACCCAGTGGTGCGGTGATACAGTTCAAAGCATAGCTGCTCGGCCTTTAAACACGCCCTGAAGGAGAATCCAAAAATGCAGGCAGCTGTGTTGTGTGTGGGTGTGTATATAAGATGCACATAACAGACACACACCCAACCTAACAGCAGCAGTACAAGGCATAATACTCGGTTTCTTAGCATCAGCTGACAGTCAGAATCCTGAGCTGGCAAAGGGTGGCATAAGACTAAAGGGAAATGAGCAATTCAGACCAATCCACAGCAAAATATTTCACATCACAACAGGGGTACCTCACAACCCTGTTTTGCTGCTGGGAAAATCCTCTTCCTCCCGGCTACTGTGGCGATTGAAACAGGGCGGTCCAAAGTGTCGAGTTGCTAATCAACAAGCCCCAGTGCGCCAACCCTGCAAACGTTGGCTCTACTACACCACGGATAGTCCTCGACTTTTCCCAGGCCACTTTCTGGATTTCTGACAATGTGCTACAGTGCCAAGCTGAGGAGACAGACAGACCATTTCTTAGACATCTGCCCGTGCTCCTGTCTTGCCTTATGGACTCCTGTCCTTGGTGACAGACAGTCATTCATTTGGTTTCTTGACTACCGCATTTTTTCACTCCAATAGTGTGAATGACTCATTCCCTGGATCCTTCCAGACCAACTGACTCATGTCCACATGTGTCCCCTGTATGCTAGCAAGGATTTGGACAATTTGTACCTCAGCAACTTTAATTCAATCTCTGCTGATTTCAATGCCAGTATTCACTGAAGAGGCCTGGTTCAGAGAGTAATGCATTAAAATGAACCGAGCCATGCAGAAAATAGCCAAGGCGCCTCTGTCTCTTTGGCCCCATTTGCTGGAGACAAAGAGCTCGATTCTCATACGTTCCCTTTTGAGAACTGCCTCCCTTAGCAACATTTAATTTGGCTTGAGAAAGATCCCCCTGTCCCTTTCTGGTATAAACTGAAGAAAAGGTTTGGTTTAGTTGTCCAAGAAGCCAAAAAATGATTAGTTTGTCGCTCCCCCTGCCAAGCACCTGATTTTTCAGTGTGACCTGTGACTTTCAGTTTGCATCAACTGTGCCTAGATTCAGAGAGAGTCTGATTAGTTACACACACTTCAGTGCTGAGATTTAGCCACAAGCACAACTTTTCTCAACAATATTCTCTCCTGCTGGTGGCTTCATAACCTTCTGCATGAAGTGCTCTAGTACTTCTGAAACAAAACCACAGCTTCTTGCAAGATAATTCTATGAAAGCACTCAAGATCTGAATTGACTAGATGATGGCAGCTATTAGAGAGTGGATCTAGGCTGAAAGATAACATAGGAAGTTCGCTTACCACACTGAAGTCTGCTCTGCCCTCAATACAATATCAATGTGACAGCAATGAATACACAAACGCACCAATTTTGGGAAGCCATCACTAACCCTAAATTTCAAAGTGTAACTGCTCTGTGAAACAGAAGCGCTTCCAAAGTTTGAGATGGCAAAGGAAGGTGTTTACTAAACACTATGAGAAATGTTGACATAACTTCAGAACTTTAGTCTAGAAATGTTACATTGGGTGAAACCACATTAGTGATATAGGCAAAATCAGGACAGACTCTCACCAAATCCAGACATGAGCTACAAAAGCAAACATGATAGTTACATGTTCAGAGGCAATTTGGATTGCTGGATGCCAGATCTAGGCACCAAATAAAGGTCATTACCTCTGTGCTACCCCTGTGAGCTTCTAAATGTATCTGGGTACCAGCTGTTATCAGAAATGTAGACTCAGATAAACTCAGTCCATTCCAGAGGTGGAAGGTGGGCTTTCTTTTATGATCTCAGTACAATCAAATTGGAACAGAGAAAATGGTCTCAAGAATGACAAGTCCTGCTTCCTCACTGTGACCGAAGGGAGAATATCCTATCAGACAATACTGGGATCATACCACAGGCTCCCTCCCAGAGCTCTAGTATTGAAAGCTTCCCAAATCAGTGCTTCTTCCAGGTGTTGAATTGGACAATGCTTATGTCCCTAAAGCGATGTCCCCTCCTTCCCTCCCTAGGAAGTTACTAAGACCTTCTAAGTCGACGTCACTGCTATCCGAGCGAAGGCTTGAGGCAGATCTGAAGAATGGCATCTTCAGCTTCTTCCTGCTGATAGAACAAGAAAACAGAGAGAATGGGGAAACTACTTGGCGAGAACCTCGGTGTCAGTAAGTGCTTCAAACCTCGGTTTGAAGTAAGTGCTTCAAAAACACCAGCATGGTACTATGAAGTAAATGTTGGCACTCTGATAAGGGGGACCTTATTTCAAGCCCTGCATGGCCCTGAAATTTAAACTTGGGCCAGCCAAATCATCCCTTAACCTAACCTACTGCCCAGGCTTGTTGCAAGGATAAAAGAACAAGATGAGGAAGCAAGGAAAGAGTGCCATGTACATTGCCAGAACGACCCAGAAGGAACAGAAAGTTAAAATGTAAACAATAAACTTTAAAATGGAAGTGAATGGAATGACAATTCCATTTCTTCTCCCATAAACGCCTTTCTCTTACAATAATCATTTCTCTAAAGTGAGTGCACATTCCCTCAAAACAGTCCACAAGCTGAATGCTTTTAATCCTTGGTCTGACACTACAATCCATGCATTCTGTTGTGCTGTGATTCCTTTAATTTGTTGCATTAAACTCTCTACTTTCCTCCATCAACAATATCTTAAAAGATTTCTCAGTTAGCTTTGGTTGCTTGCAGTGGCCGAGACGTACCTCTACATGACTAGGCACAGATAGTTTTATAAAGGTTGGAAATCATCCATCTGGCTAGAATCACAGTGTGTGTATGTATATATGTATTATATTTCTGTGCTATCTATTAGCTGAAACTCTCTGGGTGGTTTATAAGACAAAACTTAAACCCATAAAATACAATAAACAAGAATAAAACCAAAGCAGTAAACAAGATAAAAGCAAACAGCAGTGACAAGTTATTAAAATGTACTAATATTATTTTTTAAACCGAAGGGCCAAATGCCTGGAAAAATAAAAAAGTGTTCAGGTGCTGAAAAGACCACAGTGTAGAAGCCAGGTGAATCTTTCCGAGGAACGTGTTCTGCAGCTAGGGTACTACCACTGAAAAGGCCCTGCCCTTAGTAGCCATTTTTCTCACCTCATTTCACAGGGGCATCAAGTGAGGAGCCTCAGAGGAAAATCTTAAGGTCTGAGCAAGTGTATATAGAAGGAAATAACCTGGCCCCAGGCTGTTTAGAGCTTTTAAAGTTAATACCAGCACTTTCAATTTGATCTGGAAAAAGACTTAGTGGAGATCATAATGCACTTGTACGATATTAACAAACTTGCTGCCTATTTTGGGCCAGCTTAAGTTTCTGGAAGATCTTCAAAGGTAGCCCCACATATAATCAATTTCAGTGATCCAAATGATATGGATAATGGTAGGCAGGCTATTTCTGCACTGACAGGATCATACTTTGTATAAAAGTCACAGCTGATCGTGTCTCTGAGGCCAGCTATGGTTCCAATGGCAGTGCTGCATCTAAGAGCACACTAAAACCATAAACCTGATCCTTTAGAGGGACTGTAACCCCACCCGGAACAGATTATCTCTTATCCAAGCTGGAGAACCACTCACTGAGAGTACCTCCTTCTTATCTGGATTAAGTTTCATCCAGTTCATTACTGTGCCCAAACATTGGTTCAGAATACACAGTACCTTACCTGGATTAGATGAAAAGGAGAAACAGAGTCAGGGATCATCTACATATTGAAAAGACCATAACTCCTGATAACCTCCCACATTGGTTTTATGTACACTAAACTATACAAGTATAGTATATCTGCTGTAGAAAAGAGCGATAATTCCCCAACACCACTGTCAGGAATCAGCAACACGACCCCTGCAGTGCCGAACCTCCAATTCCCAACCCAGCCAAATTATTTGCATAGTTATGTATGGACCACTGATAAAGATGTTGTGGACTAGAAACTTGCACAAACTTATTTGCAAGGCTGCTCAACACAAGGATTGGCAGAGACTCTTCATGCAATGTGGGAGATCTGCCTGTGTGAAAGGCTCTCAGACATTACGACTACAATATATTCAATAGCTGTCAGCTAAGAATTGACTGTGAAAAGTGCCATCTTGCTTGACAAGTTGTTAGAGAAACAGAGGATGTACAAACCTAGCAATGTCCCTCCTCCTAACAGGTTCATTTGATTGGCTGAAAAACCACATATGTAGCTGGCAGTTTCTTTGATAATTCTACAGAAGTTCCTTTGGGGACTGAAGAAGCAAGACACTTTTCATTGCACACTTAAAATATTTCAATTGAGCATTTGCCTTTCCTATGTTGCAGTCTTGTGGACCCCCTGAAAGACCAACTAAGTGCATTGGAAGTTTAAAGACTACTGTTTAAAAAACATCATTTTAACTTTTTCATCCTACCAACCTTCCTCCCTATACCCCCCCTCCAAAAAAAAAAACAGGAAAAAAACCCAACATCATTCTTTGAAGGGTTTTTTCCCCACAGCAAAACACTGAAGGAAGTTTAGTTGACATATAACAATCTGCCCAAAGGTCATGCGAATTAGTACCAACATTAATTCCATCCTTATATACTTGCCCAAACATGCAACCTTGTCTTTCCTTCCAAACAATACAACACCAGCTTTTTTCCATGCACACACCACAGCCCCTCTCAAACCTTTCTACCCAAACCCTTTCCAAGCCTTTCACCAAACTCATGTCTTCTACCCTTTAACTAAGTGCTCTTTTATCTAAATCTTCAGCATTCCCAGCTTCTGCAACCTCCATTAAATCAGCCCCAAGATAGCAAAAACTAGAAGTACCTTGCTTTCTACTGGAGAATTCCTATGACAAATTTATATTTAGTGTTTCGGTAATCCGTTTTTGGTATGCTCTGGTGCAATGTCCTGGTTTCTCCTGCCAACATCACCCGTCGCCTTTGTCAACTCAGTTGTTAGCAACCATCACCAAGAAATGCATCAACTCTCCACCAATCCTGGTGAAAGACATTGGGGAAAGGAGAGAGAGTAAAGCAAGAGCAGGTTACACACAACTGATTACACATCATGGGGATCCCTGGGCCCTCCTGGAAGATAAACTAAGCAGCCATTTAGAACAGGAGCAGAAACGGAAGAATAGAAGTGCTTTCCGATGGATAGCTATTCCATCTTTTCCTTCCCAATGGAGTTTCTGTGTAAGGAAAGAAGGGGGGGGGGGTGGAGCAGTGGAAAAACATAGGAACATTGTTGTTTGAATTTCTCATAAAATTCCATGAATGAAACAGGGTGATTGCATGATAGAAAACCTAATGTGAAATTACCCCGGGGCACTCAGAGGGCAGATGCTGGAGAACAGGGGTTAAATACAATGTTGTTGGGGAAGGAAGATGTGAAAACCAAATATTCTCAAAGGAGACTGTTGTCCAATGGCTGTGCTTGACCAGGAATTATGTGACTCCCATATCTGCAGGCTGCCAGATTGGGGAAGGTTGATCTAGGTGGACATGGTTGGTTTCCCCATTTCCTAAACTATGCTCTATTCTGGGGTCGCTTCCGCTCTGTGTGTGTGTGTGTCTCTCACACCAACTTTCTTTTAATTTTCTATCATGTCCTGCAGGGTCCTAAGACTTTCAAATTCCACCAAGATCAGGATATACTAGGGAATTATTAGAGTATCTTATCCCAGCATTGCCTCAAGTCAGAATGACATCAGCTACCTAGATAAGTATTCCAGAATTTCTAAACTTTAACTGCACTGTGTTTTCTGGTCTCAGGGCTGTTGCAGTGGACTGCCCCTTCCATCTCCCACTCCTGTCCCTACACCCTCCCCTATTGTCTGCCATAAGCTTAGGCTGCCCCACCAGCTGCTTCCTTCTCCAAAGATAAGCTCCACCTCAAACTCTGCTTTTAAAGGGGTCTTTTCTGTACCACCTTATCCCCAGCTAATCTTTGCTCTACTACCTATCTGACTCCTCTGTGCAAGCCTTCCTCAGCCTGATATCTTCCAAGCATTTTGATAATTCCCATCATCCCTTACTTTTGGCTGTGATGGTTTTTATAATTGAACACATAAGGAACACACTGGGTTGGGGAAGGCTATCCAATCCTAAGCTTGCTATTTTTGTTGCCTCTTTCCCCCCATCCATGTGTTGTCTGATACCAACTGTAAATTCACGAATAGGGCCACATTATTTATGCTGAAGTTGCCCTGTATTTTAATACCCAGCAGCCCTTCTAAGCAGAAATTTAATATTTTCTCCTTTATGTGCGCTCTCACCAGAAGATGCTTCACCTGCTTAATGTTGGTGTGCTGGGCTGCTGTTAAAGCACAGGGCCTTCAAATAAATAAATAAGGGGAGTGGGGGAGAAGATGGTAGCCCTATTTAGTATGCATTTTGGCTGGTATGCTCACATAGTCCCCAAGATCCTGTTTAGTCACATGTCAACCAAAGTCTGGACTGACAAAGATCCAGGACATGAGACGTAGGAGATCAACCAAGAGGAGGCCACAGCAGTTCATGCCAGTCTGCAAGAAGATTATGCTAAACTTCTTTGAGGGTACAAAAAGTTTAGCAGCACCCATAGCCCAAACAGACCTTTGAGGGTTCACACCAATCCCAAAGTCATGGCAGGTGACCCCAAATCCTGACTTCACCAAAGTTCCATGCAGTCATGTGATTTTGCACCTCCTGCCAAGGCTGAACCACAGCTCACCTGAACCACAGATCACCTGGACCCCCAAGGTCCTGCCAGGTCATGCCAAATCCCCATGTAGCCATGGGGTGAGGAGGCTCAGTTCACAACCTCTACAATTCATGCCAAGGTCCTTTCAACATGTCAGCCCCCAAGTCCTGGAAAACCACACTGAAGTCCTGCAAAGTCATGTGATCATGAACGATATTCACAGGTCGTACCAACTCACAACTGCCCCAAAGCTGTTCCTCTCCTGAGTTATTCAGACCACAACTGAGGATCCCAGCAGCCCCTAAGCCCCACCCCTTCCAATAAGCTCTTCCCCTTACCTTACTGGCCTGT